GGCTGTGGTTTGCTGATTGTTTAAATTTTGCATTAAAATATTATTTCTCTTGATTGCTATTTTGGCAGCCACTTAAATTTTGCATTAGAGATTAGTGCCTCACTTTTACCCTATTCCTGCTTCTGCCAGATACCCTGAGATCTGGGAGCCACATCTCGGTCCTGGAATCAGGCAGGAATTGGGCTTCAAATGGGCAGCACTCTGATAGTCTGAAATTTGCCACCCATTCTAAGATACTTTGGGCCAGTTGTGCCCCACACCAGCCTCAGTCTGTTATGAGCAGCTTAGCCTAGGAATCTTGCTTGATTTCCAGTTGGCTGGATTCCTCCACATGCCTGCATAGGAAATAGGCAAAGGATGGAAAAAATGAATTTTATGCAGTTTGATTAAACTGGGAAGAAGCAGCTAGACTGCTTCTCTGCCAGCAGTTACAATTAATAGAAACAAAAACCAGATAATGGGGCTGGGGCTGTAGCTCAGTGGTAGAATGCTTGCCTAGCATGTGTGAGGCCCTGGGTTCGATCCCCAGCACAAAAAAAAAAAAAAAAAAAAAAAGTAAATAAGTAGAATAAAGGTGTTGTGGAGCCAGGGGAAGTCAGGTAATGTACCTAAGTAGATTTAGCCAGGCTATGTTAATCAGAAACCTGTCAGTCTTAACTTTCTTGGCCCTTAGCCACAAGGAGAGTGGGGTGTGCAACCCTTCAACCTTTACTTTTGTTACAGAACTGGGGCCTTCCAGGAAACTGAGGCAGCATGAAGACCCCACTTCAAACCCTAATTTTTGGAATCAATTCAGAAAGATTTCAGACATGTTGATCAAAGTAACAGAAATGAGTTTATTAAAGGGAACACTCTCAAGGAGAGAGAGTGAATCCTCTCAGAAGAGAGGCAGAGTGCCTCCCTTGCACTCCAATTTTATTAGGGATCCCAGAAACACTTCCAGAGTCCTGCCCAGGTCCACCTCTTGACTTTTGACAGCAGGATGACATCAGACTTTTAAGTCCCCACTGCCACAACTTCAGTTCTAATTGTATTCTTAATCATTTTTACAGGTACTCTTTCATAAAAAAGGTTTTTTTTGTTGTTGTTGTTGTGACTGGGCATGAATGAAACCAGGGCTTCATGCATGCTAGGCAAGTACTCTACCAACTGAGTTGTCTCCAGCCCTCATAATACAAAATGTTTAATAGGATTAAGATCTTTCCTGGGAGTTGAGTGTATGAGTTTGGGTACATGTGCTTGGAGAACTCTGATTTTTTATTTCCCAGAGGCCTCCTTGACATCACTCTTGGAGCTTAGCAGGATTCTGGATGGGGAAGGCTGGCAAGTCTTGGGGAGGTCACACTGATATCACCGGTTATTGGTGACAAGTTCTGCTTCCTCATGTGTTTAAGTATAACATTAGAGAAGCATGCAGAGGCAAGCATACAAAGCAAGGTTTATTTAAAAAGAGGTAATACAGACTTCTTCTGGGATGGATGAAGAGGCCAGAGCTGGTATCCCAAGAAGTGAGAGCATACTGCCTTTTATACATCCTAGATTTGTTCTCCTGCTTTCTTCCTTCTTATCTCTCTCCTTCCTGTATACATGACTAGGCTCATGAACATACTAGGTTCAGGAAATGCTCCTATGGAATGGCCAAAAGGTGAGAAGCAAATGGGTTGGAGGGGCCAAAGTAGAGTGATCCAGGCAGGAAGGGGGTCCCCTGCATTAATTAACAACTTTTACAACTCCCTATAGGGAGGAACAACCCCTGGAACAGGTTACCTTAGCAACAGGTTGGAGCAGGGGCAGGTAATTTTGATAAAGGTGGAGAAAGAGCTCTCAAGGCTTTAACATTTCAGTTTCTCAGGGGTGGTCTCCAACTTGCCAGACCCAAGTGGCCTTCACTCTAGACCCAACCAGGATCACCTACCTATCTGTACTGACTGTTTTTAATTCTGGCTTTAACACATGAAAGTCCTCATCACCAAGTTCTTCACTCTCATGACCCCAGTTGGAGCTTCTTTTCTTGCCTCCTCCCTTCCAACTCTGAGCAACTATAGCACAAGGGCTGAATTGGGTCTGGGAGTCAAGGAAGGTGATAGGCAGCATGTCCATGATCTGGAGAAGCCAGTGTGGGGAAGCAGTGGAAGGAAAGAGGAGGGGAGGCTTTGTGGACATTTCCCAGAAGTAGAGTCATAATTTTTGAATTTCAGCCCCCAAACCAGGACTTACCTTAGACATTTTCAGAGATCTTCACACTCCTAGGATTAAACTTGGCCAGGGTAGAGAGGGAAGCATCTTATTAGGTGAGAAGGGGTTGTCACATTCCTGGACTTCTTGCTAAGGACTTCTCCCCTACCCTTCATGGGTTGCTGAGGGGTCAGAAAATCCCCAAACTCCTCTTTTGCCTTGGATCTGGTCAGCAATCCTCTTGCCCACAATACTATTTCCAAGTGATCCCCTTTGCCCTTTCCCTTTGTCTTTGCCCTTTCCTAGGCATTCCCCTGGCCCCAATGCAGAAGTTAACTGCTCTGGGAACTTCAGCCTTTTGGCTGGGCTGGGGTAGGAAGTGGGCAGGTCTTCCCTAAGCCAGCTCATCCATTCCTGGTACAGTCTTCCCCTCTTCTTCTACACCCTTGGGAAATAGACTTGTTATGGAAATTGCACTCAGCAAGAGACCAAGCACGTCTCAGAGAGTTGCCTGTGGACTGAGATGAGCTAGTGCTCTTAAGTTCTGGGACTGGAGCTGAGGTTACATGGGGCTTTTATAGGAAAAATGACATCATTTCTTAACTGTTACAAGATTAGTGGGTTTGAATTCTTGGTCTGTGAGACCAAAGACCATGCAAAGGAAATTTATGATAAGAAGTTCAGAGGTGTAGAACAAGACAGTAAACACTAGTGAGTGTTATTGTGATATGGCCTTCACCACAGGCAGCAGCAACTCAAGATGACTGAGTTTATCTCCCTAAGAACTATATTTCTAAGAACAAAACCTAAGAGGTTATAGACAGTAGTTAATTGGCATAGCAATTAAGTGTGGAGTTACATTCTAGAGTTCAGAAAGTTTCAAAACATAAGAAACAACTCTTTTTAAAGGAACCTATCTGGCCTTGAAAGCCTACCATTGGGATATAAACATTCCAAGAGAGGGAGACTCCTAGAGAAACCTATTTACAATCCTATAGGTAGGTTCCCTGAAGAGAAGCTGACATTGGGGAGTGGGAGGATTAACTTTTTCTTCATCAGACCCACATCCCAGGGAAGAGAAGCTGCTAGACAGCAATTAGGCCTTTCTCAGGACTCTCTGTACCTGCCCATACGGATGCTGGGACTTAGCAGGTACAATGCATACACAGTCCCTATGCTCCTGGAGTATGTTTATGGCCAAGTCCTGAGAAGGGAGTTGTCCTGGGGTAAGGGGGCACTGCTCCAGCATCCCATAACATCACAATAACACTCACTAGTACTTACCAGTTCAGCTTAGTGATAAGTAGGACTCCTGTTGTCAGACCATGGCCATGTGCAACCCCACAGCACCAGCTTTTGCATGATCCACTAGACTCACATGGGGGAACCTAGATACCAGGTCTTTATGAGATCAACAGAATTATAATTGTACCACAATCATTCTTATGTCCAGAACTAGATAGATGACCAGCCATCCTAGGAAGACAATGTTATCTCACTCCCAACCCTCCCCACTCCACTCAGGCCTTAGCATTTAAGAGTGCTTCCACACTTGTTTGCTTGATTCCCAAAATAACTCAGTGAGGAATGTCTGGGATGTGGCAGGTACATCTCCTTGAGGCCTACAGGGCCCAGTACTCTGACCTCTGATCAAAGCACGTGAGTCTGCTCTGCCATCTTTCAAATTCGGAAAGGAGCTTTAATAATAGACTGAAATCACCATACAGGGCTCAATTCAGGGGACAACTATGGATGGGGAGCAGGAAGTCAGGTTCAAGTCTGTCACTGGGGGGGGCAGTGAGGGGAAGGGGAAAGGAAATAGGAGGACAGGGAGCAAGAAGTGATAGAAGATCTTTCTCACCCATGATAGTAGTTTGGGGACTGTAACCCCAAATGTATTCTGTAGAGGTCAGATGAGTAACACAAAGGAAATATGTTGAGTCAGGGATACAAGGAGTGGTGGGGGCTGTGTGTGGAATAGACACAACTCAACAGATTATATGTTATGATCAAATGTTGCTGAATCTTTTACTTAAAAGACAAAATACACAAAGAAACAATCTCCTCCCCCAGAAATATAGATTGTGAAGTCTCCTGATTTAAATGTTATTTAAATAACACATACACACAGTGAGGGACCAAACAGATGTATTTGCCATCTGTGGTCTAAGGACTGGTCACATGGTCCTACTCCCAGCTCAAGGAACAGTAAATGCTGGATAAATGCTGTTGGATTAAGCTGTACCTCCTGCTTCTGAGGTCTGTTTCCTTTTCTGGTCAGGACCTGTTTTCTGCCACTGGAGAGGAGAGGGGGCCCAGGGCTATTTACCCTAATGTGAGAGATTAGCTTTCAGTTCTCTGAAAGGGATTTTGTAAACAAATCCTGTTTCCATGCTCCCCTGTACCACATACACAATATTCGTATGTAGGTACATTTACAATACTTGACACTTGCTCAGTGCAATTCTGAGGAAGCCGAGGCCCAAAGATCACTAGTAAGTAGTATAAACAGGACCAGATCATAGCAACTATTTATTGAGAGCCTATTAGGTATGCACTGGGGATAGGTATACCCATGGAATCTTCACTACAACCTTGTGAGATAGCCCTCATCATCCATTTTACAGATTAAGGGGGGAGGGGGAAACGAGGCCCCAGAAGAGGTACAGATCACACAGCAGGGAAGAGGCAAACCTGGGCCCTCTGTGCTAGAAACTGAGGGTGGATCACTTCAAATTCCTTCCTTCCAGCCTCTTCTTTGTGAGCACAGAACTAGATGCTGCAAGCCTGATTAAAAGTGCCAAAATTGGGGGGTAGGGGTCCAGAGGCCTGGGGATGATAGAAAGACTATCCTCTAGGAGTGGGCATTAGGTCCTCAAGACAGATAACCCTTCTCAACTTCAAAAGGGCTATTTTGTGCCTAGTCCAGGAACACTAGTAGCTATTAGAAGGAAATGGACTCTCTGCTTGAGGACAGAGTACCGGAGTGCTTTGAGAAGCCTACCTCCTGGCTCCAGTACACAGTTTCACTAGCAGAAAGAGATTTGTGTGGGCAACCTTCCTCCGTGCCTTACAAAAGGGTTGCTTAAGCCGATATGAGTCACATCGGAAGCTTTTACCATATTTGTCACGCTGTAACTGCTTTGATGATGAATTTTGCCTCAAATGCCACAATTTTGGCATTGGAGGATTTTTGAGATTGTAGGACCATTTGGTCTTGGCAGAAGCTTCTTCCTCCCCAGCGGCAGAGCTTGACCTATATAAGTACTGCAGGCCTAGCAGCATTTCCTGGGCGGCTGGCTGCTCTGGCCACACCAGAAAGGGCTGTTCAGGCTGCACAATTTCGCAACGCAGGGGCAACCGGAGGGCTCCCCGGTAGCCTGATGTTCTATTCCCCTGAAGCTCCACCACGTCCGGATTATCCCTAGCCACATAAGGCGCCGTCAATTCCATCGCGAGTGAAGAGTGCCCGTTTCCTAGACGTCAGTTACTCTGCTCACAAGCAAACCCAGAGCAAGGGTAAGATATAGGGGTCCAGCACCGGAAACGGAAAGGTCCACAAGCCTGTGCCCCTCTAGGAAGAGGCTGCGAACCTTCTCGGTAGGTTTAACCCCTCATTCACCTGGTCGAGCGAGAGCTTTCCATCAGTAGCCGCTGTCAGGAACGTCGGCCTGGCTCGGGGTTCCAGGAGTCCATCAGCCCGGACTTCGGGGCCCCGACTATCAAAGCAGGGCTAAAGGAAGAAGGGCGGTCGCTGCCAAGGACATACCGGGAGAAGAGTTAACAAAGTCATTCAGAGCGGCACAGCACAAAGACTCCATGGTCGGACGTCTGGGTTCTCCAAAGCACACTTCGAGGCCCTAGGAAGAAAGTTTCCCTTCCATCTTAAAAGAGGCGTGTTAAGCTTGGTGCTGACTACATATCCCAGCATACACCTCACGCGCCTCTTAGACTCGCACAACATAACTACCATTCCCACGAGCCTTCTGCGGCTGTGCAAGAACCAGAGTTCCGGAAAAGAGAACTACGGTTTCCGACTCGCATGATAACTGCGGCGGCGCTATTTAAGAAGCGTCAGCAAGGAGTAGTCTGACCACGCCCCTCTCTTCCAGTTCCGCTGTCTCAGATAAGCGGCGAGAAGCGGGGCGGAGCCCTAGGCCCGAGCCAAGATGGCGGCTGCGAAACCAACCCTTACGGACTCGCTCTCGTTTTGCCTCTCGCAGCTCACGGCGGCAGCAGGGGAGGGTCAGGGTGGGGAAAAGGACCCAGCTAGCAACGAGACACCCCTGGGCCGCGCGCTCTTAGCTCTCCGCACGCGCCACATCAAGGCAGCGGGGGGAATCGAACGCTTCCGGGCACGCGGCGGGCTCCGCCCCCTTCTCGCGCTGCTACGGCGAGCGGCTGCAGCGGACCCCGCCCCGTCCGAGGCAGGTCCTGGCTCCGCCCCCTCGTCGGTTGCGTCAGCTGCTTCTGGTCCCGCCCCTTCCTCTGACTCCACCCACTCTGTTGGGTCGACGCCTTCGCCGCCAGTGCGCCTGCGCAAGACGCTGGACTTGGCGCTCAGCATCCTAGCCAACTGCTGTACGGAAGGGGCGTGCCGGGCTGAAGTGCGCAGACTCGGAGGCATTCTCCCTTTGGGTAAGTGCTCCGCCTCCATTTCCTAGAATGATTTCACCCGCGCTTCCCCCTTGTCTAGTCCTAGACTGTTTTGAGTACTTTGTGTCAAACTCTGGAATAACGTGCTTTATGACGGCGCCGCCCACCTATCTCTCAAGATGTCACTACTCTCCCATGACGTCACTACTTTTTCTGTAGGTTATACTCGAGCTCAGACCAGATAATTACAACCATAATCTAGGTGTTGGCACCTCTCCCGCATCTAGGCAGTTGGAGACTAAAGGGTTATTAATGTTACTTCAGATGATTCTTGTCTTGCATTTATGATATTAATAGTCTGACCTTGTGCGATGGACTGAAACCCCCCTTGGATGAGCTGCAGGCAAAAAGATGAAGTTCAGAAATTGGTGTAGTTAACTATACCAATAAAGGCACCTAACACCTCCAAAACTAGGATTCCTTGTAAAATGAAATAATAATAGCCACCTTGCATAATTGGAGTATAGAGAAAACTTAATGCAAAGATAGAATGCATAGACTCTATGCACAGGCAGGGTATTTCGAGTAATTAAAAACTCATACAATATAAAAGAACCCAACAAAAGCTTTTCTGTTTACCAGATAAATTGGTGCCTCCTAGTGGCATGCAAACGCAGTATACCCGTATACAGTACACCGTGCAAATGCATTATACACGTCATGCCTGTCTTCTGAAATTATTCCAGTTTTGATGTAAGCTCAATTTTTTGGATAAAGGGAAGCATTAATATATTTAAAACTTGCATAAAACATATGTGGACTATAATGAGTTTGACAAGAGCCTGGAAGATTAATAAGCCCCTCAGTAAGCAATAGAATTTGTTATCACTCCCATCATTCAGTCACTATTTTGCATTTTAAATATCTCTGAAATCCATCTCCTCCTGTGTTTCCACCATGTGATCAGAGACTGCTTGTTCTCAGCAGTGCAGTAACTTATTTGGTTCAGACCACTATCCATTCTCACCTGGCCTCTTTGTGACTCTCAGACTCTATTCCTTTCTCCTATAATACATACCCCCCATGGTTGCCAGATTGTATTGTATTGCTTCCCTTCTTAAAATCCTGTGTGTCTCCTGTGTGTCCTGAGCTCTTGATCTGGCATTTGAGCCCCTTCATTAGATCATGGCACAGATCCTCGGTGTTACCTCTGGGCTCTTGCAAAGGCTGCTTCCAAATCCAAAATGACTTGTAATATCCCCGTCCACCATCCTTCTAGTAAATACCCTCTAGACCCAGCTCATGTGTTAGCTTCTTTCAGAGACTGTCCCTGACTCTCTCAAGCCATATTCTGGAGGTGACTGATAGACAAATAAAAGGCTAAACTCTCTTTTCAGTAACCATTCTTCAGTGTGTGAAGACAGATAGCATCCAGAACCGAACAGCCCGTGCTCTGGGGAACTTAGCCATGGAACCTGAGAGCTGTGGGGATATCCACTCTGCTGGTGAGAAGGCTATGAGGGTGGGGTTAACTGGGAATTAGGGTGGGATAAGGGCTTAGGTAGACGACTTTGCTCACCCTTTGTCCTCCCCTTTCCTCTCCAGGTGCTGTTCCTTTGCTCGTTGAGAGCCTGACAGCTTGCCAGGACTCACAGTGCCTGCAGAGTGTGGTGCGTGCCCTTCGCAACCTGGCAGACTCACCACAGCACCGCCTGGCCCTGGCACAGCAGGGAGCAGTACGCCCACTGGCTGAGCTCCTGGCTGCTGCCCCAGACCCTGCGCTAACCTCAGCCCTAGTCCGTGCCCTCCTGGAACTCAGCCGAGGCTGTTCCCGAGCCTGTGCTGAGCAGCTAAGTCTGGGTGGGGGACTGGGCCCACTTGTCAGCCTGACTTCTCACCCAAAACGGGCAGTACGTGAAGCAACCATCCTGATCCTTGCCAACCTGTGTGCCCAGGGCCTAGTACGGCCTGCACTAGGCAATGCTGGTGGTGTGGAGGTGTTACTAGGTGAGCTCCGGCGGCGTCGAAGCACCAATGGAGCCAGCTCGGCTTCCCAGCAACCGTTGGTGCGGGCTGTGTGCCTTCTGTGCCGGGAGGCTATCAACCGTGCCCGGCTTCGGGATGCTGGTGGTTTAGAGCTGCTCATGGGCCTACTGAGGGACCCTCGTGCCAGTGCCTGGCATCCACGTGTTGTAGCTGCTCTTGTGGGCTTTCTTTATGATACTGGGGCCCTGGGCCGGCTACAGGCTCTGGGACTTGTACCTCTCCTGGCTGGGCAGCTGTGTGGAGAGGCTGGTGATGAGGAAGAGGAGGGAACAGAAGCGGCTTCTTGGGACTTCCCTGAGGAACGGACTCCTGAGCGGCCTGAGGCTGGAAGCTTCCGAAGCCTCAGGTGAGTCCTTACCACAGGGCCTAGGAGGGTGGGTGATATATTTTGGGATGGGGGCTTGTCTGCTTTGGCCCTCTTTACACCTCCACCCTCCATTCTGTCTCAGTAAGATTTTGTTGTTGTTGTTTCTAACTCCTGATTCCTTCTTGTTCCCTGACAGGACTACTTTCCAGTCCTGTTAAACACAGCTTCTATCCCTTGGATCTGCTTTTTAACATTGGTTCTATCTCATCACCTTGAACTTTGGGCCCCAGACAAATTCATTGGGAGGTAGTACATACATTGATTATTTATAGTGGTATGTTCTGGAATACAAGTTCTTATTCTGTCACCATCACTTACAAACTGAGACATCAGGGGAAGGCTAATTAACTTCTCTGGGTCTCTGATTCTTTGTGCATACAATGGAGGATAACAATATACCCTACAGGGTTGTTGTAAAGATTAATGGTACAAAGCAATGTTCAGTAAATGTCAGCCTTGTGAATTCTGTGATTCATCTCTGATCATTGTCTGTGGTGCCTGTTGCACTCTTAGAACTGGTCTCCTCCTTATTTTTGAACATGACAGGAAGATGTTATCTGAGGACCTCTCTGGTTGCTGTTCTGTCTGCTTAGAATACTTTTCCTCTTGCATGCCTTCATCTCTCACCACCTTCAAGTCTTTGTTCAACTCTTGCCACGTTTGTAGGGGATCCATCACCACTCTATTTTAAATTTCAACTTTTGCCTGCCTTGGATCTTTTAATAACCTTTTCTTTTCACTATTATTACTTCACACCACACTAACATGACACTAATCTACCATACGGTTTACTTACTTAGGTTGTCTGTTTCCCTTCAGTAGAACATAAACTTCAGGAGGGCAAGAACTTTGTTTTATTCAATGCTTCTCCCCAGCACTTAAAAAGGACTAGGCACACGATTAATATCAGTAATTGCTGAATGAGGATTTATTATTATTATATTATGTATTATTAATACACCCTCTTCTTCCCCTACTGGCTTTACCTTCTTTTCACAGTTCTTTTGACTCTATTCCCTTGCCTTGGCTCTGGGTTCAGTCTTCTTTTCTTTTTGCCCTCTGCAGGTCATGGCTGATCTCTGAGGGCTATGCTGCAGGCCCTGGAGACATTTCTCCAGACTGGTCTCCTGAGCGTTGTCCATTGCCAGAGCCAGCAGAGCCAGTCAGTCCCACCCCTGGCCAGACCTCGCTGCAGACACCACGTACACTACGCATGCAGGGTCGTAGCCCTGCTGCTTCTGCCCCAGAGGAGCCTTGGGGACGTGAGGGGCCGGCACTACTGCTGTTGTCACGCTTCTCCCAAGCTCCTGACCCAAGTGGTGCACTTGTGACTGGTCCGGCACTGTGTGGCTTGCTGGCCTATGTGACAGGTGCACCAGGCCCACCAAGCCCACGTGCACTACGCATCCTGGCACGTCTCACCTGCAACCCTGCCTGTCTTGAGGCCTTCGTGCGCAGCTACGGTGCAGCGCTGCTGCGAGCTTGGCTAGTGCTCGGTGTTGCACCAGACGATTGGCCTGCACCACGTGCCCGGCCTGCACTCCAAAGCCAGCACCGGGAACTGGGTATGACTTCTGTCTTTCTGCTTACATTAGTGACCCCATTTTCCTCCTGTGCCTTCTGTGGGCCCAGAACCTTGACTTTACTGCTCATCGGCCCTCTCACTGTCCTCTCTAGCCCACCATCCAAGCAACCCTAGACACCAGGTGTTGGGGGTGTTGAAGAGAACAGGAGGTCTTGGGACTATCCCTTCTGCTCCGTAGCATGTAGAGAGAGTTCTGTTCTACCATCTGTTTAAATCTTGAATCTCAGATAACCTGACCTCAGGCTTGGCTCCCAACAACCTAGAATCTTGCCTGTCTGCATTTCTTTACTCAATAGGTTCTGCGTTGTCCTGACTGCTTCTGCCCTGGGCACACTGACTTGTGAACCCAGACCCTGCCACCATTTTCAACACTGCCAGGAAGTTCCCTGTCTTCTGTGCCCTTATGGTAGATTCTTTTAGTCCTTGAGGGTCAAGAATCACATCCCCTGTTGGTCAGGGAAAAGCTTTTTTCTGTTCTTGCCCTTGATTTCTAATCCCTAGTGTCTTAACCCTCCCTCTCCAGGGCCTAAAGTCGTCCCCCTCTTCTGTGCCTTGATTTCTTGTCCTGAGGTTTTACCCCTTCCTTTCAAGAGCCCAAAGTCCCTGTATTATCCATCCTACCCCAGTCTTTGACATCAACTCCCAATCTGACCTGGTCTGCTGGCCCCTGCAGGTGAGATGCTGCTTCAGAACCTGACCGTACAGGCTGAATCGCCCTTTGGAGTCGGTGCCCTCACTCACCTGCTGCTCTCTGGGAGCTCTGAGGAACGTGTAGCCTGTGCACTGACCCTGCCCTTCATCTGTCGGTGAGGGGGATGTGGGTGTCTTGTAGGGGTTGGGGAAGAGGGTTGCTGTTCCAAGTCCTAACCTTGTCCACCTTCTGAAAGACCCTCTTTCTCCCTTTAGGAAGCCCTCTCTGTGGCGCCGGCTACTTCTGGACCAGGGTGGCCTCCGTCTCCTCCTCACAGCACTTACTCGGCCAGCTCCACATCCACTCTTCCTCTTCTTTGCTGCGGACTCCCTTTCCTGTCTCCAAGGCCTGGTGTCTCCCACTGCGAGCCCAGCCTTTCCACCTGCAATCCCCTTGGATCTAGAGCCACCCTCCCCTTGCCTCTATGAACCTATGCTGGGCCCAGCCCCGGTCCCAGCTCCTGACCTGCACTTCCTCCTGGACTCAGGCCTACAGCTCCCTGCTCAGAGAGCTGCCTCAGCTATGGCCTCCCCTTTCTTCCGGGCCCTGCTGTCTGGCAGTTTTGCCGAAGCCCAAATGAACCTGGTGCCACTGCGAGGGCTGTCACCCAGCGCAGCCTGGCCTATCCTGCATCACTTGCATGGTTGCCGGGGCTGTGGGGCTGCCCTGGGACCTGTGCCCCCACCAGGCCAACCCTTGCTGGGCTCAGAGGCAGAGGAAGCCCTGGAGGCTGCTGGCAGATTCTTGCTGCCTGGGCTGGAGGAGGAGCTGGAAGAGGCTGTGGGCCGCATCCATCTGGGTCCTCAGGGTGGCCCACAGTCAGTGGGAGAGGTATTCCGCCTGGGCCGGCCCCGATTGGCTGCCCACTGTGCACGCTGGACACTGGGGCCAGGGCAGTGCCCAAGGAAGCGGGCCCTGGCCCTTGTGGGGCTTGTGGAGGCAGCAGGTGAGGAAGCAGGGCTCTTGACTGAGGCTTTACTAGCTGTGGTGATGGGGATTGAGTCAAATGGCTAGGGACCCAGCCTAGACTGTTGATGTCTCTTGGGAGAGGACCTAAAGATGGATTGGCTGTGCAGGAGGCCTCCCTCAGAGTGTAACGAGAGAAGCCCGAGCAGAGTTATCATCGAGGACTGAAGAGAGGATGGACCTGGACCTCAGTATGGTCTGAAGACCCAGGAGTGAGAAGTCAAGGCCAGGGTCTGGGCCTGGGGCCCAGAGGAAGGAGAAGAGCCCAGGGACCCGGGCATCTGACTTGGCCCAGCACTATGGGGTTGAGATTAAAACTTGGCAATTGAATATTATTATTGTCTGTGTTTCTGCTTACTTTCCTGTAGGAGTACTCCCACCCCTTCACACACCAAGCATGGTCTTGTCTAGATCTCTTTGTCTTGATACAGGCCACCCATAGCATGTAGAAGTTTATAAGTAACTTTCTAGTGGTTCCTGGTGCCCTGAAATAGGGTGGAGTTGCCAGTTTCCTCCCTGGGATGTGGTTTTGGGCCCCATCGGAAGGATCTCATTGCTTAGAGACAACCACCTTGACACATAACCTGGTCAGGGCTGAAAGAATGCTGTAAAGTAGAGTTTAATGCCTTGGCATCACTTTTTTCTGTTGGGCCCTTAGTCTCAGAGTCCATTTTTGTCTCCTGGACCAAGTTTCCTAATGCTTTCTGGGTGAGGGAAGGCCTGCTGTGTTCCATATATTTCAAGGTACTGTTTTAATCATGTTCAGAGAGAGCCACAGCCTTGTGCTTGCATTCAGGTGAAGGAAGGACTCACATTGCTTTGGTCTCCAAGGTCTCTATCATCTGCCTTCCAGATCCTTGATTACTTGACAGCCTGACTCTCAGGAGAACTCTGGATTGGGCCTGCCTGGGTCTGCTTTGGGGAAACTAAGGTTGGCACATGCTGTTGCCTCTTTGGATGTTAGTCTAGGTCTCTGGTTGTCAGGCTGTGCAGACATATTTTTTTAAAAAATATGATGCCTGTGCCCTTTTGGATGGAATTGTACTGGAGGGCTGCCCTGGGCATCAGTACTTTTTTAAAAAAAAAGTTTCCCAGCTTCTGACTTGCTCCTGGGTTAAGACCCATAGTTCAGTTCTCAGGTGTATCTACCAGAGTGGCTGCAGGACAGCTGTCCTTGCCCATCTCTGAGTGTCACTTTTTTTTTTTTTAAGAGAGAGTTAGAGAGAGAAAATTTCTTAATATTTATTTTCTAGTTTTCGACAGATACAACATCTTTGTATGTGGCGCTGAGGATGGAACCCGGGTCGCTCACATGCCGGGCAATCGCGCTAGCGCTACCGCGTGAGCCACATCCCCAGCCCTGAGTGTCACTTTTCTACCTTGAGTTCTCAGAGTGTCGGTCAGGGGAAAGCTTTTGGTTAGTTTGGGGCTGGAGTCTCTGTCTTGCTTTCTTCTCTTTCATCAGAATCTTGGGAAGGAGCTACTCTGGAATAGCCTGGGGCACCTCAGGGTTGGGGAAGGGCTTAGTCTTGCAGACTGACTGGGAGTGCTGAGTCTGTTTGGGGCTTGGGCTTGGGTTTCATTTTCCTTGTTCATTTGTATATCATTTTCCAGGTTTCTACCTTAGAGTCTAGTTGGGCTCAGTATCCTCTGTCTCTGATTTTTTGGGGGGGGGGTGGTCTAGTAATGTATACCTCTTGGAGTGCCTGTATTTGATTGTCTGTCAGGGTCTCCAAGGGAAGGTCTCTGAACCTGGGATCTGACAGATCCTTAGAACAGCACTCCTGTCCCCAGCTCAAAAATTCTGTCAGTTGACAAGCCTCTCAGGAATGCCCTGGGTGGAGGGGCCTCTGTCTAGGGCTTAATACTGGCTTGGGGCCGGGAGTAGTCTGTGGTTATGAGTTTCATTAGACAGGGGCTGCACAGCCTGATCTGGAAGAGCCACTTCGGGCTCTGGCTCTGGCCGCCCTGGGCTCTCTGTTCAGTTTAGGCCAGTGCCGGGGTGTGGCCGTCTCCGCGGCAGGCCAGCGGGCTGGGTTTGGGTGGGCCCCGGTGCTCCCTTTTCGTCCACGCCCCCACCCCGGGTTCCCCGGTTCCTCGTCACTCCCCCCATCCCCATCCCAACGGGTCCCAGCTTCCTTACATGGTCACGGCCCGGCTTCCAGCTCCCGGACGTCCCCCCGCCCCCCGCCCCCACCGGACACGGCCCCCGCCCTGCTCGCCCCGCGCCGCCTGCCCGCGCCCCGCCATGGAGGATCTGGGTGAGTGGGGCCCGGAACCCGGGGTCCCCAGCTTCTCACCACTGCCTTGAAAACGCTTCCCCACCCTTGCACTCCGCACATCTCCCCATCCCTGTCTTCTCACTCCTGCTTCTTTCTCTGTCCGCTCGAGACTCCTTTCCGACTCCACTCCACGTCCCCCTTCCTGCCTCTCCCTTCCTGCCTTTCCTGGGCTGGCCGCTCCCTCCCTTTTCCTTCGCTCGGCTCCTTCGGTTCTGACTTTGGATGGTCAGGGAAGTGCAGCGCCTGGACTAAGAGACGCTGGAAAGGGAGGGGTTAAAGGAGCCTTAGGTTCCAGGGACTGGGAAAGGAAACCGGAGAGGTGTGTGACATCAATTTTGGAAATAAAAGTGACCGGCGGGCCTGCGCCAGGATTTCGGGAAGGAAAGAGTTAAGGGCTCCTAAGTATGGAAAAGGTCAAGTCCTTGGGGCAGGATAGAGAATAATAATTGAGGAGTGCCAAGATGCTACAGAAAAGTGAAGGGTTCCACCAAGATGTTCAGAGAGGAAGAGTGAAGGGGCAGGGGCTTCTAGATTCTGGAAGGGAAAGAGTTCAAGGCACCCGAATCTAGTGTGGGATGTTTGGGGGCAAGAAGAAGGACCCAGGTATCTTGTTCTCTCTTTGCTGAACTGGGGCAGAAAGGCTGCGTCTTCCATGTGAGACAAGATGTTCAGGCACCCTGCAGTAGAGGGTGCTCCTCAGTAGAGGGAACTGGTATTGGTACCTGGGAGAAGAAAGGAATCAGAAAGCTGGTCCCAGCAAATTCACCAATGAGGAGTTTAGGGTGGGACTCAGTGGGGCTGGGAAGGGACCAGGCTGGGCAGGGCCTGTTTAGATAGAAGGAGGAATTAGCAAGTATCAGGAAGTTGGGTGCCAGGCAAACAGCCAATTGAGCAATTTAAAGTGGATCCAGATTTGGCTCGAGTAGAGTCAATTTTGACTGCATTGGGAAAGACGTGGAGAGTAAATGAAGCAGGTGGCTGGGTTTGTGCTGGACTCTGGGTTAGCTAGTCTGGATGTCTGCTCATAAATACTCCTTGCTACCCTTCCACTTCTCTGCCTTGGTCTGGCCCCATGTTTATGCGTTTTGATCTCTGCTCTTAATATTGGCTTCTGCCCTTTCCAAATAATGCCTACTTGGAACTATTATCCTCTAATCAATTAAGGCCCTGTCTCTGCCCTTAACCTTAACTCCTTAATCTCTCACCCTGAGGGCCTCTCCCTGCAGATGCCCTGCTCTCTGACCTGGAGACCACCACCTCACACATGCCAAGGTCAGGGGCTCCAAAAGAGCGGCCCCCAGAGCCACTCACACCTCCCCCACCCTATGGCCACCAGCCGCAGGTGAGATAAGATATGGGGGTCTGGGGCAGCCACTCTGGCCTAGGAGAATTTGAGCCTGTATGGGGCAAAGCACAGACCTGTCATTCCACACATGGTGTCTCTTCTCTCTGTAGACAGGGTCTGGGGAATCTTCAGGAGCCTCTGGGGACAAGGACCATCTATACAGGTGAGGGACCTAGGAAATAGGGCACTGAGAAGGGGAAGCCTCTTGAGGCACAGGTGAGGAGGCTTGCATTACCCACTCCTAAACTCAAGCTCCTACCCTGTTTCTCAGCACGGTATGCAAGCCTCGATCGCCAAAGCCTGCGGCCCCCGTGGCCCCTCCATTCTCTTCTTCCAGTGGTGTCCTGGGCACTGGACTCTGTGAGCTAGACCGTTTGCTTCAGGAACTTAATGCCACCCAATTCAACATCACAGGTACCAGGGTTACTGAAACAGACTTTGATGGGATGGGGGCAGGGCAGGGCAGAGACTAAGGGGCACAGACTTTCTAAATGTCCAGTTAAAGGGACACAAACCTTTGAATGGGAGGGTGGCTTGAACATGGCCCCATGCCCACTACTTATCTCTTATCTCTCCAGATGAAATAATGTCTCAGTTCCCATCTAGCAAGGTGACTGCAGGGGAACAGAAGGAGGAACAATCTGAAGACAAGAAAAGACCCAGCCTGTGAGTTTGGCATTGTTGGGAGAGCTGGAAGAGAAGTGATGGGTCTTGGATGTTTGAGTTATTAAAGGGAAATTACTCTGGGAGGCTCTGAGATGACACCAAATATGATTTTTGCAGTCCTCCCAGCCCATCCCCTGTTCTCCCAAAGCCTTCAGCCACCTCGGCCACTCTGGAGCTGGATAGACTGATGGCTTCACTCTCTGACTTCCGTGTCCAGAACCATGTGAGTCAGGCCAGGTGTGGGCTAGTGTGAACTTTGACTCCTTGACCTATTTTAGACCCTTCCACATCTACTGCCTTGTTGACTCAACTCTTATGTCCTCTCTACTGTAGCTTCCAGCCTCTGGGCCAACCCAGCCACCAGTGGTGAGCTCCACTAATGAAGGTTCCCCATCCCCTCCAGAGCCAACTAACAAGGGCAGCCTGGACACCATGCTGGGGCTGCTCCAGTCTGACCTCAGCCGCCGTGGTGTTCCCACCCAGGCCAAGGGTCTCTGTGGCTCCTGCAGTAAACCTATTGCTGGGCAGGTAAGTGGATTCCTGTGAGAAAGGAGATAATATCCACAGACCCATCCTTGTTGAGAATCTGGTTCAGGGTTTTTCCCGTTTTTCCCTTTAAATAAATAACATTGTAAAGGGGATATTATTTATTTATAATTTTTGTTTTTCTGATTTTTTTTTTTTTTTGGTGCTGGGGATTGAACCCAGGGCCTTTCACACGCTAAGCATGTACTCTACCACTGTGCTATACTCCTAGCCCACTATTTATGTTTTGTGGGTGAACTGAATCTCTGACTCACACAGCAAATAAGTGGTAGAGAATTCCAATCTAGTTACTATTGTGGTCTTACTGTCTGCCAGGCACTATGCTAGCTCCTTTCAAATCCCCATCTCACAAAAGGCTCACTGGCTTTATCCAGCATCTCTCAGGCACCCACAGGCTTTCTTTTCTCCTTTAGAGTCTGGTCTGGTCTGGGAGCTCTGATTCTTGGCTTATGACTGAGCAGATGTCGCTAACAACAGCTGTGCCCAGTGGTTGACC